TAATGTATACGTTACAGCATCAAACATACTTAAGTAATATCAATAAACTACATGGGCGACTGGTTTGTTGGATATGGAATAAGATTTCATTGACGATCTGGTCTTTTATTTCAGGGACTCAGAAAGAAAAAGCATGAGCACTGAGAGGTAATCTTCTCAATGTTTTTTTTACAGTCTTCAGCACATGCATCAGTCCCAAACATTCGTGTAATTTATATTCACTCTTTCTTTTAGGACGTTTGGGGAGATGAGTGATGCAGAAGAGCAATATTCCCTGTGTAGGGAGCTCTGTCATGACCTAGCACAGGACCTACAGCGAGAGGGCCTTAAGGTACCTGTGTTTCACCCTCTTGTTGGGCTAAATTAAAGTAAAAGTTGCTTCTCCCAGTTTTATATCAAACCTCATATATAGCCAGTGATAACTTGCATATCACTGTGAAAATTAAGATGGTTTCATTCATTTACATTTAAGATGTTTTGTTATAAATATCAGTATCATTGTACAACCATGTGTTTGTGTATTGCATATTTGTGTAGTTGAGGAAACTTCAATTATTTTACTTTCTTTTGTTGCTGGATGTATTAAACATTTGGTTGATACATATTATAAGTATGTCTGTATGACCCCCTGAAAGATTAAAAAAAATAGTTTATTATGTGCAGAAATAGTAATGTCAGCAAATGTTATCTGGACTCCATATACAATTAGTAAGTGCATACATATTTGTCTTAACATGCATTACATGAAATGTATTTGTGTCATAGGGGAAAACTGTTACTTTAAAGTTAAAGAATGTCAACTTTGAAGTGAAGACTAAAGCGTTTACACTGCAGTATGCTGTCTGCACTGAGGAGGACATCTTTGCTGCTGCCAAAGACCTTCTCAAAGTTGAGATTGACAGTGTCAGCCCTCAGCCACTAAAGCTAAGACTCATGGGTATATATATATATTGTGTGTGTGTGTGTGTGTGTGTGTGTGTGTGTGTGTGTGTGTGTGTGTGTGTGTGGCTGGCTGGCTGATAAACCCTACATTATGGGGGACAAAATGTCCCCACAAAGTTGGCAATATCTGAAATCCTTGTCCTTGTGGGGACATTTTTTGGTCCCCATGAGGAAAACAGCTTATAAATCATACTAAGTGATGTTTTTTGAAAATGTAAAAATGTAGAAAGCTTTCTATGGGGGTAGGGTTAGTGTAAGGGGATAGAAAACAAAACAGTTTGTACAGTATAAACATCATTGTGTCTAAGGAAAGTCCTCATAAATTAATATATAGACTAAAATAACGCGTGTGTGCACGACTGTTCAAATCTTTGAGGTTGGTAAGATTTTTTGCTTGTTTTGAAAGAAATGATCACCAAGGCTGCATTCATTTGGTAAAAAAAAAAAAAACAGTTAAAGATTCATATTGTTAAACAGTTTAAAATAACTGTTTTCTATTTGAATAGATTTTTAAAATGTAATTTATTCCCGGTTATGGCTAATCTTAATTTTCAGCATCATTACTCTAGTCTTCAGTCTCACATGATCCTTCAGAAATCATTCTAATATGTCTTTAAAGTAACTTTTGATCAATTGAATGTATCATTGGTAATTAATATATCAAAAAAAATCTTACTGATCCCAAACTTTTAAACGGTAGTGTATGTTCATAACTTGGCGTTTTGTCTAAAGTTTATTGTATCATGTCCAAAAGTTACCATTATTTTTTCTTAAAGCATATGAAATAAAAAAATGTATATATCATTAGTTTATTTGACCATGCATGAGGAATCTGACAATACAGAGATACATTTTTTCAAAAAATCTGAAGCTACTTTGTGTATTTGTTTCAGATAGTAAAATTCAGTTTATGAAATGCTCATGCTAATGAAGAGATGTGTGATTTTCAACAGGCGTTCGAGTGTCTGGCTTTATCAGCGTTGAAAATAAAAAGCCTCTTCAGAGGAGTATAATGGGGTTCCTGCAGAAAGGTGGATCTGATCCAGGCAGTTTCACGCAGTGTTCTGGATCTGCTCTCAAAGCAGAAGGAGGCAGTGATAGTGCCAGTTTCCTAAAGCCGCAGTCCACTGAGATAAAAGTACCTTCTGTGTCTGAGCAAATACCCAAATCTACAGGACCTAAGCAGCAGTCCTTTTTTCAAAGAGCGCAGTCAAAACGACTTCAGCAGCAGCAGGAACAAATGTCTGTCATCAACTCTGGTACAGACACAACAAACAATAGTGCTGACGCAGCTGCTTCAACTCTGCCAATAACAAACCCTCAATCAGACACAACATCAACAAACACAAACTCGGGGACAGACGCAAAAGGATACATAAATAAACATGCAACTTTAAAGCCATTGTTTAAAATCTCAACCCAAGTTCTGCAGTTTCTCACCTGCCCCGTGTGCAACAGAGAGATGAAGGATGTGAACCTCACAGCCTTCAACCACCATATTGATGAATGTCTGAAGGGCAGTGCAATGGATAATGAACACACAGATTCGGATGCAGGTGAGCGACAGGAAGAGCTCAACATTGAACCACCTGCATCAAGCCACAACCTGCCCTCTAATGGAGAGAAGCCGTCCACTAGCATCTCTTTGCCAGTGGTGGAAACTGATGACGGAAATGATTTCAAGACTCCATTTTTTAGTCACACGACAAAAATAAATGAAAAGCGTTCAGTTGTTCCTAATAAGAAGAGGCCTCTTTCTGAATCCAGTTCTAAAGCCTCACACACAATACACAATCCTGAGGCTGTTGTCACAGAGTTGTCACCTGACTTGAAAGGCTCGTCTTTGACGTGTCCCGTGTGCAGTCAGCTGCAGAGCACCGGTGACCTCGCTCTCTTCAACCGCCATGTGGATATGTGTCTCAACCAAGAAGTTCTGCTGGAGTTTAGAGGATCTCATCCTCCTGTGGATCATTCAGAAGCGCCTGCACTCAAGAGCGTAAGAGGTCAGTCAAAAGCAAATGTTGAAGAATGCAAGAAATCGCATATGGAAATAACAATGATACTATGACAAGTATATGGTAAGTCAAGGGAAATGATTATAATACACTTGTTTTGTCTTTTGCAGGCCAATTGGGGGACCAAGGCAGAGTTTCTAAAGTGAGAGAAAAGAGCAAAAGGTATTTAACTGTAAAAGGCGATAATACAGTACTTTATTGTAAGAACATCATTTGAATGTACTGTACATGCATACCGTTTGGGGTCAGTAAGATATATATATATATATATATATACACACATTTCTTTTTTTACTTTTATTCAGCAAGGATGCATTAAATTGATAAAATGTGACAAAGATATTTATTATTTTGGAATGTTGAAAGATTTCTATTTTAAATAAGTGTGTCTTCTGATCTTTCCATTCATCAGAGGATCCTGAAAAAAAACTTTTATCATCGTTTCCACAAAAATAAATGTATAATATTAAGCAAATCAGCATATTAGAATGATTTCTGAAGGATCATGTGACACTGAAGACTGGAGTAATGATGCTGAAAATTCAGCTTTCCATCACAGGAATAAATTACATTTAAAAATAAAAAAAAACAGTTCTCTTAAATTGTAATATTTCACAATATTACTGTTAATTTTAGCATAAGAGACTTCTTTCATAAACATTAAAAATCTTACCAACCCCAAACTCTTAAACTCTAATTTATATTATTATTATTATTGTTGTTTCTTATACATTCTCCATTTTAACCACAGGCAAGGATCATCTCCTCTTCCACCCGCAAAGAAAACCAAAGTGTTGAGCACAAAACACACAATCGACAAGTTCTTCAAAGGAAACACCAGACAAAACGTCTAATTCTGTTACAATTCCAGAAAGATCACAGATCTTTTAATTTATGAAGAAAAGACATGATAATCCTTGAGGACTTCAGGGTTTCACTTCAGGGAATGTGTTGAAGGAGCGAGTAAGAAATATGCAAACTGAAGAAAAGCAGGTAATAAGATGGCACTTGATAAGAGATGGTGCTCAGAACATCATATACTTTGACACAAAAGCTGAAGATCTTTTGGGTATTTTTTGTATTTATAGAAATGTGTATTTGTGTGGTGGAAAAAAAATGCTGTGTATTTATACTTTTGCACTTTCCTCTTTCTATATTTATGTAAATCATTGATGTTAATTCTACATTGAGTGATGGTTCCAATATTTTTTAAATAATTTTATTCTTCGCATAAACACAAATTAGCATTCATTTTTGTATGGGCGTGCTAAGCCATTTTTAGACCATGACACAAGAATTACCATCTAAATAACAAATATATACAGAAGTATCATAATTGTACACATTCAGAATTGTAATTATATCTTCTTATTTGCACCTCAAATTAATGTAAAAAAACCCAAATAATTAAAAATTGTTCTAATTAATTAATTGTCCTTAATCTTACAATGGTGTTTTCTGTTTTAAAGGATGAACATATATCGGTGTTTTTTCTTAGTTTGTAAACCATTTAAACAGGTTTAACCTTCATCCAAGAAGGAATGAGAAGTACACTATCATTCAAAAAGTTTAGGGTCGGTAAAATGTATTAAATATTTTTGTCTCTTATGTCTCTTATGCTCTTATGATTGAAAACAAGTTTAAAAGGATTTTAATGACATTTAAAATGGCTGTTTTGTCTGCAGTGTCACATGATCCTTTAGAAATCATTCTAATATGCCCATTTAGTGCTCAAGAAACATTTATTATCAATGTTGAGAACAGTTGTGCTGCTTAATATTTTTGCAGAAACAAAATATATATATATATATTTTTTTTCAGGATTCCTTGATGAATAAAGTTCAAAACAACAAACATTAATTTGAATATTTTGTAACAGTGTAAATGTGTTTACTGTCACTTTTGATAAAAGTATTAATTTCTTGCTGACTCTAAACATTTGAACAGTATATGCATAATAACCGTATACCCTTATTCCCTATAGCTGCACATACTGTAACACAATCAGTGCTTGAAGCCATTTAACTGTATGTCCTTTGGGTGAGAGCACACATCTTTGGGCGTGAGCTCTCAATGCAAACAAAACCATCCAGCTGATGTATTTTACAGCACACAAGTCTTTGAAGCAAAGAGCTTGTGCAACCAGTACGATACTATGGAGAGGAGAGCTCAAGCCCTAAAAGACTACATACTGAAGCAGCCTGTTTGGAAGAAGGAGAACCTTAATCCCAAAACATGGTTAAAATCAGACCACGTCAAAGGTTTCACTGACTTTATTTTGCCAAAGGATATTGGTGAAGATGGTGGTTATGATAATAAGGAGATGTGTGAGTATAGATCATCCTGCTTGAATATCCTAATGATATTTCTTCTGTTTTACACTTATGATGATTCCTCTGTACTATTAGCTGATAAAATGTCCTGAATTTACATGTTAATAATTATCAAGAAAATTGACAAACAATTTTGTATTTGATCTGAATGTGTTATGACTTTAGTGTGGAAAAAAAATCAACCTTTTCTGTGCATAGTTTCATAAAATTTTACAACTTTCTTGCCTTGACAACCCAAGTCTAAAACTACTTTTAAAATAATGATTTAAACAGTTTACAAAATTTGAACAGCAGAATTTTTGTAAAATATAACCTTCACGGTTTTGCTTTTATATAGGTCTACTCCAAAAATTGGCATTGTTCACTTCCTTTTTTTAATTTTTTAAAAAAAAAATTTGTACTTTTGCCGCTCTAGCGGTTTATAAACTGAACTGCATGCATCTTGCGGAAGAACACTAGCAGGAGCTCCTTCTCTGATGAGTCACGCAGGTACTGGGCTACTCCACAGCGGTGACGACCCGAACCAGTCTAAAATAGTCTGAATATAAACTCTTATTATAGGTGTACCGTAGTGATTCAGGATAAGACAAAAACATTGTTTGGATAATGAATTCATGATGTATTTGCTCATTATATAATTTAAAAAATAATAATTGACGCCCAAAACCCAAACTGTAGCCTACTCAGTGATATTAACACATCACACCAAATATAACAGTAGCCTAGTTGATACTTTAATAGTTTACTTGTTTTTCCTGTAGTCTACAAAAAAGTACCATGCAATACCATTGTACTCCAGTGTAAATACTATGTAAATGTTGAACCAATATAAATATGATAATCATGCCATCTGATAGCCTACATCACTCTACCATGATACTTTTTGTAAAGTACTTGTCAGTACTATTGAACTGATGATTTGACCCATACAGTGCTGGAGGTGGAGAAAGACTTCATAGAAGCAGCAAAGAGAAACGACGTGGAGGGCATGAAGCTTCTAGTGAAAGGCGTTAATGTCAATGCCAAGAATGTGGTATGTCAATAAACATCTAACTTACGCAGGTGTGCAATTTTTTTTCCAGTAGCAAATACAGATATGTTTGTTCACCATCTCGGAGCGCTTCTTATGAATCTTGTGTCTCCTGTTAGCACGGTCGAACTGCTCTTCATTATGCCGTGGCCTTCAGAAATGTGGAAGTTGTTGATATGCTCCTTCGAAGGAGAGCCAAACTAGATTTACAAGATAAGGTATGTTTGCCCAAGCAGCTGCATTAATGATTTACCCTGTTACCCTTAAGATCAATAATGGTACTCGTACTGTGTTTCTGCAGCACGGACTGACTGCTGTCCACTTAGCAGCATGGTTTGGGAGTTTGGAAATCCTTAAGTTACTTGTTCAAGGTGGAGCTGACCAAAGCGTTGAAAATACGGTGAGGTGTTCGCTTACTGCACAGAGTGATTCATTTCATTATTTCAGTTACATTTTTTATATATATATTAGTATATAATGTAACTGAAATAATTACATTATACAAAAAAGTAAGAAAATGCACACCTCAGATGTTAATTATTCAATGGTCCTTTATTGTCAATTATTCTTTACATAATCAACACCGATAACACAACATTTACATATTTTGATCTTGGTTATTTAAATTTATTTTAGATTTTCTCAAAATAATTTATCAGAAACTCATAACCCCCCTTGACCTTTAATCTAAAATAAAAACTCTTATGGCTTTATATTGCTGTAACACAACTGGAATTAAAATGATTGAATTTGTGTGAATTAACATAAATTGATTTAACAATTGATTTATTAAATAAATTCATATTCATTTCACTTTTAAATGTTTACCTTTTTTATTATCTGGAAAATTGTCTCTACTCAGCAAGATTTAAATATTGTAAATATTATTCTAAGTGTTTTAAACCACATTTGTTTTACATTGGAATTGTGTACATTGCAACAGTCATTAAAAGTCAGAGACAACATGTGTCATTGCAATTGTATAACATCGCATACAGCTTACTCACAAAGGTAAACATTTAGGACATTTTAGAGCTCAATGTAAATCATTGTGTGTTCAGGAGGGCCTGAACATGATGCACTGCGCTGCCATGAACAATCACACTGATATTGTAGAGTACATCGTTGATGACCTGCAAATGGGAGAACTTGACAAAGAAGAACAAGTAAGGAAACAGCAGCTCATCTTATATTAAAAACAACGATGATCAGAATAAAAAAAGTTAGATACTAAAAAGATAATGTCCCTATTAGAGACCTTCAATACACACAAAGATAAAGTGTGCTGTTCTTCTGTCAGTATGGTAACAGACCCTTTGCCCTGGCCGCAGCACACGGCTGTGTTCGCATGCTACAGATGCTGAAGGAGGAACCTTACAACATGGCCACCATGGAGGAAAATAAGGTTGATTTATTGAATCCTTTAGTTTATAGATGGTTTGTTTAATACAAAAAAAAGTGCATATTGTAGCTGCAATAATGTTTGGGCACACTTTATATAAGGTGTTTTTAACTACTATGTACTTACACCAAAGAAATTGTTAGGTGCAATGTAGCTACTTACTGTGTTTATGCATTATTGCAAAGCACTTTTGCAACTATTGAGATAAGGTGTAATTCCTGTAAAGGAATTACAGGTGTAAAGCTGTAATTCCATGCACATATTTGTCAAATGTCAAAACCTGTATGTATTTTTTATTATTATTTTAATTATAGCAGGACCTGATTTTGACTAATTCTCACCTCTTTTCTTTTCCTTTCGGGTTGACAGGTTGGAGACACACCTCTGCATCTGGCAGCAAAGCACGGTCAACATGAAACACTCCACCTACTTCTAGACAACTTTGACATTCGCAATGATGTCAACCAGGTAATAATCTGTCCTTTTAGGCATTATCAACACTTGTTCCAGAATCACACAGAAAATACATGAGAGTGAGACACATTGATTTGATTTCTTTGCTATGTGTGTGTAGGCAGGGCAGACCGCTCTGTATCTTGCTGCAGATGGAGCTCATGAGGACTGTGTACAAGCCCTTCTGGAGGCACAATGTGACCCAAACATCTCTACCTTAGTATGTACTGAGGGGATGATTTTAAACACTCCTTTTGATAGCTACTACTGGATAATAATGACAGACTCAGTCTCAGACTATTTGAGAATGAATGAATTTAACCATGAAATATAAAACCTATTCAGCATCGTTTCTTAGAGGATGGTTACCTGTGATGATTTTCAGAGCAGAAGCAGCCCTCTGCATCCAGTCTGTGAGAGGGGACACTTTCCAATTGTAAAACTCCTCCTGAATAGTGGAGCCCAAATAAACGCTCAGGACCAGGTGAGAAATATCATTTCACTTTTTTTTTTTTGCTGCCTGAAATTTGTGATGCTATTCACATTAATCTCTGTATCTCACACTAATCTCTACATGAGAATATTTCAAATGTGTAATAAACATTGTCATTAAAGTATCTAGTTGAAGAGATCTGCTTTCAATAACTGATCAGTATATTTTAGTAAAATAAAGATTGACTTCAGATAGCTTTAATGTACACTATTGTTAAAAACAATTGGGGTCAGGAAGAAATGAATACAAATTTTCAGCAAGGATGTATCAGATTTATCAAAAGTGACAGTAAAGACATTGTATAATGTAATAAAAAAATGTACCAGCACAACTGTTTTCAGCATTGATGATTATAATAAGAAATGTTACTTAAACACCAATGAATGTTCATTTATAAAACACTAACTGATGTTTAACTTGAAATGTTTAAAATGTGAATGAACATTAACAAAGAATAATGAATGCTGTAAATGAATTGTCATTTTTTTATGTTAGCTACTTCAATAACTAATATTAGCACAGTGTGTGTGTATATATATACACACACACACACACACATACACATATATAACGCATATAACAATTTTCCAATCTCCAATACTGGGCATTTTAACATGCACCTTATATTTCCTTCATGACAAGATAGTATAATCCATGTTAGGAATAAATACACTAATGCTAGATTAATCAAGATTGATTGATTGATTGTTTCAGCATATGCAGACTCCATTCCATCTAGCAGTGAAGAACGGTCATATTCCTGTAATCCACACCCTACTTGAGGCTGGCTGTGATCCAAACACAACAGATCATGTGCGTCTACTCACCTACTTTCATCCATCATTTATGAAATGATATTTGTCATTGCATTCATGTTTCAGTATTTTTTTATTCATTCGACACACTCAGATGGGACAAACTGCACTCCATATCGCTGCTGAGATGGGGAAGGTGGATGTGGTCGAGATGATTCTGAAAGCCGAGGTGGATCTGGAGATTCAGGACAGGGTGACAGACCGTGTCTGACATATTACACTGCCTGATAAAGGTTTAAAAATGTGGTAGAGAATAGGCAATTTAGGAGAAGTTATTTTTTAACGTATTATTTTCCTTTACAGCAAAATAAAACAGTTCTTGGAGTGGCGGCGAGGGGGGATATGGTTATAATTGTGGACATGATCATCAAAGCTGAGAGATATTTCAGATGGAAGTGCAATTATCAAATGGTGGGTATTCAGATTTCCAATTTGGTCAATGCAAACCATGAGATAAATGGTATTGTGTGTTGTAAAAGAGTGGGAAGAATATTTTCCTCCCAGCAAATACCACGTGCTGCTAAAACCTCAGCCACTCTCTATTAAACCCAGTGCCGGAAGTGTAATGCAATTTTAAAGTATGTATAATTCCATTCAGAAAGGTCACCACAGGCCATTTATTTGCACAAGGATTGCATATGTCAAAAATGATCATCTTAACAACAGCGAACATGGACTAATAATATTCAGTGTGCTGTATATACCTGTGCTAATTTCAGCACCTGGCGAATCTGGCCTTTCTCAGAGCTTGATGTTATTTGATTACCCTTTCAGAATAATACAGATCCTATTGAGAGCCTTCACAGCGAATCACCATTGACGTTTAAATTAGATCACTCCCCTGACACGAATCCGCTGCGTGATATGATATGGGAGCTCGCATACAAATACCTCAAGCGGAATGACTGGAAGAAGTTGGCAGAGCTCTGGGAGTTCACAGAGGATCAGGTGGCTGCCATCGAGGAGCAGTGGACAGGTCAGAGCGAGATGCTTTACCATCAGATCTTCTATATAATCTTATCTTTATGTTCAGAAGAGCCTGAAAATAAACCCCTAACAGGGAGTTCAGCAGCACCAACAGACAATCGTAGACCAATAACTGATGGATGAAACTGATAATATTACTCTAATATGTACACTACCACCAGTGTTGGGGGTTACGCATTACAAGAGAGAAATTGGTAGTAAGTTGCAGAGGTGTTGTGTATTTGGTTATTAGGTTATTGTAGTTCTAGACCAATGTGAACATGCATTTACTCATCTCACTTGTACAAAAACAGATTCAGTATTTCTAAAAAATGAATAAAAACAGTGAAATGCAAACTCAGAATATTATGCAAACCTGCAATAATTAAGTACTATATATATATATACTTTATGGCTCGGTTCCACAGACAGGGCTTAGATTAAGCCAGGATTACGCCTTAGCTTAATTAGGGCAATTAAGTAGCTTTTATAAACATCCCATAGAAGAAGAAAATAACATTACTGGTGTGCATCTAGAGACAAAACAATGGCACTGACATATTTTCAGATATGCCCGTACAAGTTGCTTTCAGTTAAAACGACTCAAACAGGCATTTTAGTCTGGGACTAGACTTCCTTGTTTGTGTAGGGCGATATCTTCTCTTAGCTTTTTGGGCCTTATTTCTAACATACAGTCAAACGTGACACTTGGAACAAACTTAGCCCGTTCAGATATTAAATATAATATAATGCAACCTCAAAAATTATTCAACCCTGTGAATAGAATCCCTCTGAACAGCACAAATCTGCAAAACAGGTTTTGTCTCAAGCACACCTGATGCAACTAATCAAGGGCTTCATTAGTTGCATCAGGTGTGCTTAAGACAACACCTGTTCTGCAGATTTGCGCTGTTGTGAGGGATTTTATTCAGGGGGTTGAATCATTTTGTGACTGCAGAAGTCATTAAAAGTTGCATTTTCAGTTGAATTTGGGGAAAACCACTTGAAACATTTGTTGTGTTGAGCTATTTCAATTACTTTTGTTTGATTTGTTCAGTCTGTAAATTGCCAATAAACTTGATTTGCAATGGGCGTTGAATAATTTCGATTACAACTGTGTGTGTATATATATATAATTCTAAATTCCATTGGAAGAAAGGTAATCTCAAATGTATTAAACTACAGATAGACTTGATTCAGAGACTCCCCCTTTGCTGTATCTAGGTCCTAACAGTTTCCAAGAGCATGGGAACAGGATGCTTCTGATTTGGCTTCATAGAGTCGTGATAGAAGGGAGCAACCCAGCCAAAGGCCTGTATGAGGGGCTGCTTTCTGTTGGGATTACAAAGATTGCTGGTAGGATGTTTTTACTCATCTTTACAGAATGCCGTTATTTTTGTTTTCAATGTCTTGAAGGACGTATCAATTATAAATGGTATAGTATGTGCTTTTAAATGGTACATTTATTAGAGAGTGAGTTTTACACAGTCATTTATAATGTCCCTTACATTAAAAATAGCAGAAAGGAAAGAGTGAAATCTCATTACATACATTTTTGTCTCATCCCCAGAAAAAATAAGAATGGAGGGAACAAACGCTGATGCAAGGAAATGCACAGTTTCATGAATCCATGATGCTACAGAAAATGTTTGCTTTATTTCCTAATTGACGCATGGAGATCCAGCAGCTAACTTTAATAAAACCTGTGAATTAAGATACAGTACAAACTAATACATGATCTAAAAAAAAAACACTGATCTAAAAAAAAAAAAATCAGGAAACTGTTACGGATTTTGATTATGGCTTTGTAAAACATTATAAAGTAAAAGATGACACTTATACAAACATTTTTTATTAAAAAAAAGAAACCATATCACGTAATAAATAATGTTTCTTCAATTAAAAGTGTTCATTTGGCAAATTTAGTATATAAACATCTTACCTTCATTTCCACCATGTTATGATAAAAAATAAATACAATTTTGTACTTAAAATGTATGAACCTAATTTAAAGCCTCTAAACCTGACAAATTAAATACTTCAAATTACAGTATCCAGACCTGACACATAAATGAGCAAGAGTGTGTGTTAGTCCACGACTTTGATGGAGTGGATGTGAAAGGAGGAGGAGGAGGGGCCTCTAGGCTGGCTGGAGGAGCTCTTGCTGCTGGAGACAGTCTGACTCTGAAGAGCGGCGCGAGGGAACTTAGCTGCTGTTGCCTGACCAACAGTGAGCTGTATATGGGGGGAAAGAGGGAAATGGAATGAGCACTACTGTGTTTAATGTTCTTAGACATTTGTAGGGATGTTCCTTTATACCTGAGTGACAGGGTGGTGTCTTTCTACTACAACTGAGCTCATGGGAGGAGCCACACCCATGACATGCAGGGCCGTAGGGAGGCGGCCCGTCCGGTTATGCTCTGCCCGTCCTGTCAAACGAGCAGTTACTGTCTTAGAGGCTTTCTGCTTGCCAGCTGTTACTATCCGTGCGTTCGCCTAAAGAGGAGAACATTTTAGAAGCAAGTAGTTTTCAGAACATACACATGTATAAATGTTATCACTAGCATTTTGAAAAGCAGCTTAGAAACAGGTTCAGCAGGCTGATATAAAATATTCAGAAATATGCTTCCAGTGACGGTACCTGTCTGAAGGAGCTTGTACTGCCCCCTGGTGGAACGGTAGAGTTCACCACTGTGGTGGAGAGAAGGGTTTCTGCTCTTGGGCCTGTGATTGAGCTAGGCTGAGAGAGAAACTGGTCCTGTAAACAGAGCAATGCATACAAATAATAATTTAACAAAGATAGATTGTCATGTTAAAGTTATAAAATAAAAAAATATAAATAAATTAAAAAATTTGGTCCTTGAAGTCAGCATGAAACGGAAGTTGCGATAGTCTTTTCTTCTCTATTGCGACATGTCTGAGTGAAACGGTTTCTTGAACCAGAAAAATGTAGGGCGGGACTTGATTTTGTCCATCGGGAACTGATTGGATGGTAGTGGTTTACTATTACTGTGATCTCATGAGTGACAGGTTGTCGCGCCCTCACGCCAGTAGACGTCATCAGAGAAGAGATTAAAGATTACGATGAGGGCATATACATTTTGAAAATAATGTACATAGAAAAATCCTTTATAAGAAATACAACAATATTCTATAAAAAAGTCCATTTTTTTTCATAATGATTTTAAAGTCAATCATTATTTATACATAAACATCAGCAGTAATATTGGCCATGCAAAGTTTAATTTTATAGGCTGAAATTAGTCTGAGTAAATGGCAATTGTCATAAAAACACACCAAAAAAACTACAATTTTGGACTGATGCTCCAAACTTGATGTTGAAATGAAGAGAATCCTATACAAATGCATATCAATATGAAAGCATTGTACAAAACATGACTGCTGGTTTCAAGAAATCGTTTAGAATCTTTAAGATTCAACAAGTGTTTGTTGCATGTCTTACCGCCTCTACATCGTCTGTATTGCTGTGGGAGGGGCCCGGCTGTATTGGACTCTCCATGACAATTGGACTGAGCCGTGCAGACGAGACCGTACGTGGAGGGTGATTAGCCATTGAGCTGGTGCTTGGCTCGTCCCCTGGAGGTGGAACATCTACACACAATAATAAAGGCTGGACTGATTATACTGCTTAAGGTTTGATCTTTGAGACATTTACAGCCCTACTTTAATTTCAATTATTTTTTCAGATTGGATTTATTTCTTTTAATATCAAAATTCTGTCTCAAATTGAAATACAGGTGTGGTCACATTAGTGAAATTTCATAGGCAAATACGGTCCATTGTTTTTTGTGTTAACATCACATATGTCGACTTGCCATATCTACAAGGGAATTTACAAGTGAAGCGTCTCATTTCGGCGCCAAACTGCGACACCAATTGGTATTGCAGAAAACATGATTTTTTTTGTTTGTTTGTTGTCCAAACTCAACCTATGAATGGCTGGCTTCTAGTTATCTGTACACTCTGGATTATGACAAAGTATTTTAACAATTAAAACCAAATTATACACTTCACCTTTAAAGTAAACTGTTGTCTACCCTTTCTGCATATTTCGTTCAATAATAAATGAGCTACAGGTGGGACAACTGAAGGGAAACAGGTTGATTATGAAGCAGGAATATTAAACATTTGATTAATGAAGCCAGAGGCTAGAAAACCGCTACTGAAATCAATCTGATTTAGTTTTCATGTAACATTATATGCCTAGAGTGTATTCAGTTATTTAGAAATGACCTTTTGTCAAAATAGGAGGATTTTTTTTACATTCAAAATGTTTTTTTGTATAGTGGAGTGTCCGTCATAACATAAATCAATCATATTAAACTGCTATATCATGCCTTCATAAATGTAATCATTCCCACTTTAATTGAACTGAATCTCTCTATTGTCTTACCACGGTCCAGTCTACCCGCTTCTCCAGTGTTAAACATACTAAGGGCCTCGATGTTGAGTGCACAGACCCCACGCATGAAAGCTTTCTTCATAGAGTCCTCGTAGCGCTCTCGCTCCGTGTGCAGCCTGTGGATCTCAGCTTGAGCTTTCTGGAGCTCCTCTACATGCTGACAAACACAATATTTATGTTATTATTTATTATAAACATGGAATCACTAACACCCAAGATAAAACTTTTATTTTTATTTTTAAAAGACCTATCACTAAAATTTCCATGTGGGTTTCACTCACCTGTGCCATCTTGGCCTCATAGTCTGTAGAGAGCTGCATGCAGACGTCCTCTGCTCTGGCACAACACGCTCTCTCCACACGCTCCCGCCACCTGTTCTGGATGAGCGATTGCCAGCCTGCCCACACCTTCCTCTTGAGCTGCAAATGATAGTGCTGCTCGGCCAGTCTGCCCCCCTGTGCCTAAAACACAGAGAAATGCATTCGATCAGATTCATAAGATTGAAATAAGGCTTGTTTTTGAAAGAAGTCTTATGTTCACAAAAGGTTGTAAAAACGTCACTGCTGTTGTTTTGGCTTCATTACATCTTTAAAGGGCCAGTTCACACAAAAATAACTAATTCTGTCATAATTTACTCACCCTCATGTTGTTTCAGATCCATAAGACCTAATCATAATCATATAAAGCAATCATATCTCTTCACAAGACTTGGATTAAACCACTCAATTCATACAGATTCATTTTAGGATGCCTTGGATCTTGTCATTTTTGGTAAATTTTTGGACTTTCAATGGAGGGACATTAAAATGATCTTAATATGCGTTTTGAAGATTAACCAGTCTTATGGTTTTGAAACGACATGAGGGTGAGTAAATTGCTGACAGAATTTTCATTTTGGAGTGAACTGTCCCTTTAAAACGCAGATAGTCTGCAATTTGAAATGAGAAAATGAATACAAAACACAAGCCTGTCTTAACTCTCAATCTGACATGAGTAAACACCATTGTCAGAAAAACACCTGCCCTGTTTGTGTGTGTGTGTGTGTGCAGTCAGTCAGATCTGCCCCGGCCATCTCACCTCCTCTCTGGCAGAGCACTGCTGCAGTCTCCACTGGGTGAAACTCCTCATCAGCTCCAACTTCTCCCTCTGCCTGTCAACCGCCCTGCTCAGATTCACTATCACCTGCAGAAGGCAAAGGCCAAGGAGGAGATGACAGACTGGAAAACAGAGACTTACAGCCTGTTGAAAATTGTGAGTCAGAGCCACATGTGTTTGTGTTTTGAATGACAAATTCTGTGTTGCTGTTTCATATACTATTTCCCAATATTTTGCACCCGTATCTTATTATATTCAATACCTCGAAATGTTTATTAGCTTAATACTGCAGGACATTAGTTTCAATAAATAACATCTCTGACTTAAAGCATGTTCACACCAAGAATGAGAACTATAACAATAACCACACCAGTCCACACCATAGACTGTAAACAAAAATATAGATGTAGTGTCCATGACATCACCTGTAGGTTTCTGAAGAGCGTTTTTGAAGCCCAAAGTGGGCAGAGCCAGCCGTTGCCCTCTTGGCAGCCCGTCACTCCCGGATAAACGAAAATGGGCAAAGAGGCGGGATTAGCTGAGGTGACGTGATGGCTAACAGACAGCAGACAAGCGGCTAGTAGAGACAGCAGCGGCAATCCACTCAAGTGGGCACGCCCTTAATTATGCTGAACTTTAAGGCTTAATATAATTTCAAACGGATAAGTTCTAAAAAAAATAATAATAATTCACCCCCCTCACAGTTGTCATGAAGGGCAAAATTAGCTATATAGACCAAAACCACTTTTTTGCTGCTGTGAAGTTGGCCATTTTAACATAGGGGGTCTATGGGATTGACTCTCTTTTGGAGCCTGTCTCTAGCGGCCAGTTGATGAATTGCAGTTTAAGTCACTTCCGTTTTGGATTCAAGAGAGAAGGTAGAAGGTTGCCGCTTGGTCCACACCAGTGGACGATGTTGTTCTGTTTATTCTAAGCGCATGCTGCAGTTTTGTCATCTGCCGCTTTAAATGCTCCAGCTCTTTAAAGCAGGAAGTATTATGATTGGCTGTCAATGTTTTCGTTCATCAGCTGGATAAAATTATTTTGAGTGCGATTCCAACAATATCGTTTCTCTGTGCCGTGGTAATTGTAGTGGTGTGGACTTTATTATCCTTTTACATTTAGAACTATATCTTAACCTTCATAGTTATCGTCCTTGGTGTGAATGGGCCTTTGGCCTCAATATCTGTGCACACCTCATCTTTCCTCTGGTTAGAGATCTGGTAAGTGTTGACCAGGTCTTTGAGACCATCCATCTCAGCATTTACAGCAGCCATATGTGCTGCATGTTTCTCCCTCTCGTTCTTAAGCTCCAGTCTGTGCTGCTCCACACAAGCCAGTTTCCACTTCCTCAGCTCCATCATCACATTACTCTGCACACAGACCAAGAAACAGTTCCTATAATGTATTACGGTATGCAGCAAAATGGTACAAAACATACAATTGCAAGACAAACCTTAAGATTTGTGCTCCAGGTGTCCAAAATGTTCTCCATCCTGTTCAGATTCTCATCTGAGATGAACATCTCTGTCATGACGGTGATCAGAGCATCAGCACTGCTTTGTCCTGATATGTCTGATCTTTCCTCAGATGACACAGACCTGGCTGCCATGCACTCACCTGAAGTAAAAGCAATATATTATATCAGATAGTTCCAACTCTTAAGGGTACTTTCCTGGCAAGCATTACTGACACACTGCAAGCAGAGAGAATGGATCTCTCATTTCTGCTCGCCTTTCTGTAGAACATTTGCAGTACATTCGCAGCAGATAGACAAAAACGGCGTCATGTGCTGATGCTTAGAAAACAAAACTAAAGGTTAAAAAAAAAAAAATCCACCTTCTCCTGCATCATCATTACTAAGGAAACATTGGTAAACAGCTGCTGCTTTGATGATACAAATGCATTACGGTTCAGATTATGTGAACACAGTCCAGCGGGATAGGGGAAGGGGGGGTAAATCTACCTCGGGTTCGGACCAGGCAATCAAACCAAGTGTAAAAGCACCCTAAATTCTGATTGAATGAGACATAATCGAAAGAAAGAAAGAGGACTGAGACTTTTTGAAATGGCTTCGTGTTACCCTCAGATGTTCGACTTGGCGGTCTGGATTCTTCTAATGGAGGAGTTGGTGTAGCCCTGTTGTTTGGATGCTCTTCATTATCTGAAATAAAACAAAGGAAACAACACTTTTCTCAACCTTTTTGACTCCAAGACAATATTTGAAGGCCCCCCAAAATATTTCTGATACTTATGAAAAAATAGAGCTAATTTTCAAACTTTTTATTTACAAAAACTAGGAGGGACAAAATATTCCAAATAATTAAACTCCATAATTCCATAACTGAATGTTCTTCATGGTTAAAATCGTTTATTACCAATTAACTTGCATGGCGTTTCTAGTTTTTTTGTTTTCTTATAAATAGCAATTTCTCTACCCAACTAAATATTTTAAGAGCTATTTTTACATTTGATATATAAATTATATTTTTCATTTAAAAAATAAAATTCACAACTTTTCCATTTCTAGAAATCACACTTTTACAATTCTCACATTCAGTATATGCAGTTTGTCAAAGATCATGAGAACCCTGGTTTTAAAATAAAAATGGCAGTTGTTAATGAAGCAAATAAAATAAAATAAAATTATTTTTAGCTGTCTAGAATAGATTGTATAAACCTTGTTTTGTCTTATTTTAAATAATTTTAAGCAGGCCCTAGTAAGACACTAATTAGCTGGTTCAGGTGTGTTTAATTGGGGAGACCCCTGATTTTAAGCTATCCTGTGGCCACTTTGAAAGTGTCCTGAGATCCCCTAGTGCAGGGGTGTCCAATCCTCCTCCTGGAGGGTCACTGTCCTGCAGAGTTTAGCTCCACCCCAATTAAACACACCTGAACAGCTAATCAAGATCTTATTAGGCATACTACAAACGTCCAGGCAGGTGTGTTGAAGCAGTGGCCCTCCGGGAGCAGGTTTGGACACCCCTACCCTAGAGGCCCTGGCCTCCCTGGTTGAGAATCACTGCTTTAGACCTATAAACCTTTCAACCCAATTTTTTTTTTTTTACAATATTAGTGTCTGCAATTTGGAATGATCTAGCATTATCATTTCCATATGCGTTACATTTTAGTAAGGAGTCCATTCAGTAAGGAGCCTACCTGCAGAAGGTTGAGCTGGTGTGTCTCTTTTAATAGTATGTTGTGAACTGGAGAGTTGAGTTATACTCAAGTTGAGCTGTGATGGGAGACTCGGTTCATATTTAGGAGTGACAACAGCATAGCGAAGAAGTTCTTCGTATTCATCCTGAAAATTTGAAAGAGAAGGAACAACACCAAAGTGTCCTTTAAACGGACAGGACAGAAAAATCAGTCCCTTATCGTTGTGACTTTTGCAATGGTGGATATAATAACTCACCTGAAGCACAGAGGAAACTGAGCTGCCTCTGTCTGAATCTCTTGGTAAATCTGGACTATTGCGTTCCCCTTCATCTGATGACATCTGAAATACAGAATGAACGAGGACTTGTGATATATGACCATGTTTAGATGACTAATTTTACTTCAAATTGACCAAAAGAGACGAATCCTGTTTACTTTATAGCTAAGTTACTTCAAACCTGTCTAACTCTACCAAGTTATCATTGTTAAAAAAAACGATTTAAATCTATCAGCTAATAATTAATATTCGCCATACAAAACACTAATAATCATGTACTTATATAACGATACATAAGGCGAAGGACTAACGAACTTTGCAACGTTTTTGTTTATTTGAGCAGCAGTGATTGATTTATCAACTAAGTTATGTAAGAAAAGAGTTAACTTAGCAATGTTTGCTAATGTTTATTATAATGTTCTTATATTATATTGTACAGTCGCAGATAGAGATATAAACAACCAGTCCCTGAGCTAAAGCAAAAGTGCAACCTAAGTTCCTGCTAAAGCTTCATAACACTGTGTTAGCCTCTTAATGAGCTCCTAGGCTAAATCTACAAAGCATCATGTCGGGTGCGGTAAAGAGATGAATCTCTACGATCATTACCTTCTTAGCTAGAGTTTTAAAGGTATGTGTTCCTCTGTTAACACAATGAATGCTTTCAATCTGCAAGTGCCCACTCTACTGTTAAAAGCCCTGTTTCAAACTGCTAGCCGCTAGAGTAAAAGTCTATTTGATTGGTTGAAAATTTGGCACGTCTATATTGGCTATTGTGATTGGGTAGAATGTTTCCGTGGTAACAGATACGCGGAAGCGTCGGTTGTATCCACTCTGTTGTATCGTGTTGACATGTACCCCATAGTCACTCACAACGGCAAAACAGTGCAGTCATAAAAAATAGGCATTTTTGAATGTTTATTCTCTTTTCTTTAAAGGGTAAAATTGCCATTTTTAAATATCACTTATTTAATTAGCAACCTAGAATAGTGTTCATAAATATTTCTTCATCATTTATTTAATGTTATTATTTTGTTTTGATCCATTAACTTTCTGATTATTTCCAGGTTTCAAATAGATTTTGGATCACAGATTTGCAATGTGATCTCAGACTTTTGGACCCTTCTAATTTAGTTATCAACTTAGAAATAAATAAAGGAAATCAGAGAAGAAAATCAAAGGAAATTCTAAGGCCAAATAGATAGCTTATGTATCATAATAACATTAAAGCATCAAGAATCATGAATTGAATGAATAAATCAGACCTTATAACACAATGACCATCATGAATGAAAGCACTGCACTGTTTCATCCTAAACCCTGCAGGTATTTTGTGTCGGAGTGCTTCATAATTCGGCCACCATAAGAGCCTTCTGAGTGGATACTTTACTTACTCTCTGATGACTACAATAACTTCAAGGCTTTTTTGATTTCAAAAGGTAGGCTATTTTAGACATGTAATACACTACATTACACAAAAGCACAATATAGACCTATATGTACCCTAATTACTGATGTTCTGAGGCCCTAGCTTAAAGAATAATGCCTTTGCCATAAAAAAATCGTCTCAGTTTTGACATTTGCTTTGAGAATTGAAAGGAACTAGAATATAATTTACTAAAGTGGTTAGCTTTTGTTTAATGAATTGCATTGAACATTGGCACCGACCCCAGTGGATAGCCTACAACACTCAGCGTACAGCATTGAATAACACAGGGACACATGCAGGCTATTTAGAGTTTGACTCATAATCTGTGTAAATTATTGCTCTATTGCAGCACCTTGATAAAACGTGCAGCTTGATTTCAAATATAGCTTCTGAATCTTAGTATGAAAAGCACAACCATGTTTGCGTTTTCTCTCACTTGAAAGTCAGCCCACATTCTTTGCCCACAACCTGGTTCAATTTGTTCCAGGACAATAGTCTCGAGCCATTAAATTAACTTTCTCCCCCTGTGGTGTTTCTGTAGTGGTATTTGCGGGCTTCAGGATGCAGAAACTGTTGACAAAGGACAGAAGTCGAGTTGAGTTACAGTCGGAGGTTAATCGAGTAGCAAAAAGCTTTTTCTGTTAGCAGTTTCAATGACATTTATTGACCTCAAGATCATGTAATTGTGTTGTACAAAGAAGTCTATTATCTGTCTCGGCAGAGTTTGATCTTAGATGGACAGATTCTTTTTCCTCCATGAATGAGCATAAAATGAATCAAATTTTTTCTGAAATTAATAATGAGCCACATCCTGGGACACACACACACAAGTTTCCATGTTTTATGGAGACTTTCCATAGACATAATAATTGTTATACACAAACTATATTCTATCCCCTAAACCTACCCATCACAGAACATTTTCTGCATTTACATTAAAAAAAAACAACATAAATCTGTATGATTATAAGCTGTTTTCTTCATGGGGACCCAAAAATGTGGAGGGGACATTTGGTAACAGAGAAAACAATGCACATAATGCATGTGCTCTATAGAGTTTGCACTTTGAACAGTTTGGATATTTGAAATATGTGATCAGATATGCAGAGCATATGCAGAACTCCCTTATTATTATGCAGGGAATCCTTCATAGGCAGCAACAGCTGTCATAAAGCTGCTCTACTCTGAAGCACTGCAGCAATGGAAAATGCCTTTGAGGTATTGCTCAAAACTAAGACGTATGCAGACAGGTTGTAGGATTTATTTCAAAGTTCTTCATTTCTGTTTTAAATTCAAGGATGATTTCTTGTAATAAGCAATAGTGTGCATAGTGAATTCTTATTCAGCATCATTTGTATTCATTTGCTACAGTACAGACTTATGTATGTAGTAGCCCCGCCCCTTTTCAGCGCTGCGCTCGTTGTCTTTTGTCTTACTGTCTGTATTTTCATATCTTGCTTATTTATGAATGAACGGCTCGTTTTAAAATCTAGCCGGTCTACTGACATTTGTTAAGACATCTGCTTTAAACATTACAATCCTCATGATAACTTTCGTTAACTCTACATGAAGTAAATCCACTTCAAAAGCTAATTAGGCCTACTCCTGGACAGCAATGCCATTGAAAGGTACAGCGACCGCAAAAACGGAAGTTCAAAGACAATTCTAAAGATGGCTGCGACCTCGTTTCTATGGTACATAAGGTCTATAAGAGGAAACATAAATCTGGCATATAGAGGATGTATTATTGCAAGCTGATCTATTTGAAGTTTTACCTAAATGGTTATAATTCAATTTGTAAGATGGAGAGGCCAATCTACTGCTGTTATTATGACACAACCCATCTTAGTTTTTATTATTGTCATGATGAGTCTTTTGTGGTCGAGCTCCTTTATTAAAAGTAGGGTAGGTTAGGTTGAAACTCTCTTCACATCCTCACTGTAAACCCGAATAAGTTGGCACAACTCAAAAAATTTAAGGCAATCAGTTGCCTCAAATTTTTTAAGTAAAGAAATTCAAAGTTTAAGTAAGCAGAACTGACATATTTTTATTTTGTATTTGTACATTTGAATTGTTCTTAACTTGAAATGTTTGAGTACACTAATTCATACATTTAACTTAAAATTTCATGTAATCTCAATGTGAACACTTTTATTAGTATAAACTTAGCTAGCTTTAACAAGCTAGTTTGCTAACATACTATTTTGTTAACATCTTAACAATAGTATGCTATACAGTAACACTTGCAGCAATATAAAGGTTTTATTTGCTCTCAAATCAAGCTCATGCACCACTTGTCACCATGATGGTAACTATCCTAAAACCAACATTAACAGAAATTCTTCTAAATTAGCATAACGAAACATTAATCATTACTAAATCACCCGATTAACATTAATCTTGCACAAAAACACATTGTATTACACTTAATTTTAGCATTTACTCTCCCTTTTGAGTGCCATCGGCAAAGCATGCTGGGAAATATACATCCCAGCCGTTTCAGTTAAACTTAAGTTCGTCTAAATTAAAAGAAATAATTTCATAAAACTCAAAACAATGAAACAGTTCAGTTTACTTAAAATATATCCATTCTGTGAACTTGAAAGAAAAAGAAAGTGCTAAATACTCATAAAAGTTAATTTGACTGAACTAATTAGTTTAATTTAAGTTTTTCCTACTCAAACTAATTAAGTATTTTGAGTGTTAGGGATAGCAATCAATGATAGAAGTGATCTAAATATTAAAACATGTAGCCTATCTTCTGTGGGAATCTCATGACCAAACAATTATGGCAACCCACGACGTTCTACCGGCTATACTTAGATTGTAATAAACATGCATTATCTTTCTCAACTGTTTATGTTCACTTAAAACATAACTGACTGTGAATACTCGCCAAGACCGGCATTTTGACATTATTTTGTGTTTATTTGACTGTTTAAGCACAATATATAAGCAGCGAAAAATAACTCAAGTTAGAACTGAGAGGTGGCTTTATGTGTGTCGCACACTTTGGGTGTGAGCACAAAATTATGCGCAATACGGTCAATCCCACGTTGAATTCAAGCCCTGTAACACAAACAATATTCATCCGGCGCAAATGAAACAAGCGAGTGAGGGGAGGCGGGATTGTGTGCCTATAAAATTCAAGCCACCAAAGTGGTTAGTATAGGTGTGACTGAATTACACGCCACTGCTGAAATCCACCCGCATTTGGCGTGTTGGGGGTATTGATGTCAAGCCCTGCTTTGAGACATGAGGTTATTTAACTGCGTCTCTTGTGGCGGTTGTAGACTCTGCTGTGCGCGCTCATATATTTTTGAAGGGGGCATGGCTATGGAGGGTGCTCGGAAGGCAGGGTGGGAGCTAGCTTGCTATTGCTAGCCTTTTTTTCCATGCTGTGGAAGTCAATGGGGCCCATCAAATGTTTGGTTATACTTCTTCAAAATGTCTTCTTTTGTGTTCAGCAAAAGAAAGAAATTCATACAGGTTTAGAACAACATGAGGGTGAGTAGCTAAATGATGATAGAATTTTTATTTTTTGGTGAACTATCCCTTTAATTCTTAAGGAGTGAGACACTGAATCTGAATATTCTGCTATTCTTTGTAAAAATCCAAATGAAAACATTGACATAATGACATTAGAACAGTTATAAAGATTTCAAGAATATTAAGTTGGTAGCTGCTGACTCATGTGCATGAAAACAGTCTATTCGGTATGGTTCTGTGTCATGAGTGACATGAAATAGATATGTGATTGACTTGTCTTGATGTAAATAATCTTATGTCAAGCTGTATTTCTGAGTTTTTTTACTCAATTTTATTTACTCTTAAGATTTAACTGGCTGAAATTGCACTGATGAAGTCTCAACTGAGGACACACACTGATCTAATGCAGGACCTCCAAATTGCGCAGTGGCTCATTAAGTTAAGTGCTCCTTGGCTTTCAGTCATTCATGCTATAAATGAGTGTATCATCCTCTTTGGCTCAGTCATAAATGAGAAACAGAAGCATAAGGTCACACGACAGAAGAAATCAGAGGACATTGATTCGCTGGCTTAATAGTATAAAACAAACAAAAGAATATAACGCATTGGATGCACTCAAATATGTTAGTTCTAGTACCCATAATCTGATGTGCGCATATGTGTTGTGAACAAATAGTTCTCTATTTGAAAAGCTCATGTTCTTGAAGTCTGATTGAAACAAAGCTCTAACTAGCCTATTTATAATAATGTGGCCCATAGCAATGTTTTTCATCCCATGTTGTCAGATTGGTTTACACTGTCAATCAGACATATTTAATGCTATCTTTTAATTCTTCCAGAAAGTAGGCTACTAAATAACAAGGGTGGCTAATGAAACAGCCTGAGATAATGAATGTGTACAAGTGTTTATCAGAGCAAACACATTCCCTTTATTTCATGCATATCGACCATGATTCAATCGTAAAAAACACTAAATAAAATATGGGTAACACTTTGCAATACGATTTCGTTAACATGCATTAACAAAGAGCAATACATTAATATGTGTTAACAGTTTATAAAAATACATTATAGGCTAGTTCATGTTAGCTCTGGTCCATTAAATAATATCATTAAAAAAATCATAATTTTGGCAGTTGTTCAAGTCATGTTTAGTGAACATGAAATATGGATGAATGAGCAATAATGATAAGAGCTGATCACATGCATTATATCCATACATTTTTCTTTTGGGATACATAAAGCAGGATAGAAACAGCTTTTAAAGACTGCAGGCTGTGTCCTTAATTTAAATTAGTAAAAGCCCCATTCGTTTTGATGCAAAACTTTCTTAATTAGCTAAATATGCTGAGAGAGAGTGCATCTATAGCACGCTAGTTTCTCAAATCTGGCAAAGGTGTTTTCAATAGGACGTCATTAATCCAGCACGACTCTTGTAGGGGTTTTCTTTACGTCATACCGCGGTGATTCGTTATTGGTCTTCTCTCTCTCTCTCTCTCTCTCTCTCTCTCTCTCTCTCTCTCTCTCTCTCTCTCTCTCTCTCTCTCTCTCTCTCTCTCTCTCTCTCTCTCTCTCTCTCTCTCTCTCTCTCTCTCTCCGAAGTAGCTACTGCAGACAGAGACAGAGCTGCAACGCTAAACACCGTCAGCTCTTGCTTTAGTTGCCGGATGTCTTAAGGATCCATTGATGTTTATTCATTAGCAGCGGCGGCAGTCTCGTAATGGAGAACCAACATCGACATCTCATCTGCTCAGCTCCTTAAAGGGTGAGTCAAATCTTTTAAGACTTAATTCCTTTTAAAACAGTCAATTTTGCTCTATTGCGGTAGAAACAAGAAATAAAAGAATCCACATCTTATACGGTAGTATTATTAGCACTTATAGTTTGTCAATTGATAGAAGACTGTGAAATCCGCATGATGGACGGAGAGTTCAGTTTTTTTTTTTTCAAGAAACCAAAGTTTATTATTCGGTCTTACAGGAACCCAAACTAAAAGTGATTTAATTGAAGGAGTGTAATTGAAACATTAATTTCTAATAAATTATGTTGAGTCATTTATTGAACTATTAGAGGGGGGTGTCCGGTGATGAGCGCTGCTCTAGAGTCAGTTTTGACATGAGCGAAAGCGACTGATCGCTGGCTGGAATAGAGTGGAGTGCGCGCCGCGGGCGATACGAGCACTGCAGAGACACAGAGACAGATACCGAGGAGAGACAAAAAATACAAAAATGTTTGACACCCAAGAAGTAACATAATTTGAATCCTTTCTTAATGTAATGAAAACATTAAACAAATATTTTTAGGTCCATTTGATGGGAAATCTAAGTTTATTAATAACTATTTTATCTGTATTTATTTATTTAGTTCATTTGTTGCAAGTGGTATTGTTTTGACAGAACCCAGACTGTATTTTCACCTAGTTATTTCTGTTTTATTTTTGTATTATTATTTTTTATTGTTTATCCATTTTGGTTCTTTATTTTGAGTCAAATTGAGACATTGAGCAGTGTCATTTAATTGCTGAGTTTCATATCTTCTAGATTTAAAAAAGGTCCTTTTTAATTGTCCAATAACAAACTTTTCATTGGCACATTTTAGGGTTGAAAGTTAAAGGGTTAAACCGAGACAACTGTTTTCTAGAGAAATCTTGAAACTGAAGATTCTCTAAAATTATGGATGACCACTGAAATTTTCACGTTTAAAAAGAAAACGATTTAGAACAATTGTGGCCAGTGTTTTCTATAAAAGTGGAGACCAATGCAGCTTTTAATTTCAGTCACTTTAAACTCATTCCACTACAATAGTTTCAAGGTTGTATCCTTGAGAACCGGGCAGCACTTCATCAGCAATGCCCCATTCCAGTCTGTTATCTTTGCCTTCATAAAGTTAGCCTCATTAGGATGCATTATGTGCTCTGACCAATTCAAAGATAAACCATTTATTTAGTATTGCATTGTGTAAACATGCTGTATTTAAAAAAAAAAAAAAAAATATTGGCATCTCACAAAACTATATGATTTTTTTTCTCTGCTGCATTTAGTGTGCATGACTGGGAACACATGTCTAATGTTAAGATTAGAATCTGCTGCTGTAGTGTTCAAGGTTCTGCTGGCCCATCGCTCTGCCCATTGAGAAAAGGTTTTATTGAATTACCTGCAGAGTGATGCAGCCGGCCGTGCCGTGATTGAGAGTGACAAGCCTCATAATCCGAGCCCACTTGTGCATGGCAATGCGTGTCAATATGTCATATTATGATACCATGATGTATCACTGATTCTGGAGATGTAGGAAATGTAATCTCAAGATTAACGGTTAAGTACAGAGGAATTTTATTAGAATAATCTGTTAAACATGTTCAGAGGGATTCACTATACACTATAGTGCAGATGATGCCTGCTTCTTCCAAATGTGTTTTCCTTATAACTTAACTGTGTCAACATTGTCAGATAATATGCTGTCATGCCATATATTATTATTTGCAAATTAGCATTCAGGTAGAATTACAAATAAATTGAGACTACTGGATGATTTCAAACTGATTTTCAGCTGACCCTGATTCACAGTCAGACAGAAAATCTTGTGCTGACAGCGTACATACTATGTTGACAAAATCGTTATTCCGTTTGATGATAGATTCAGCAGCCATTGTATTTTTTCGAGTTTCGCAATAAAAAATTCCCAGAACTTCCCCAATCAAATTTGTGACAATGATGGAAAGTATAAGAGTAAAATTCAATTTAAAATCCTTATAAAAGTATTAAAACATTTTCCAACTCACAAAAAAAAATATATATATATAGCAATACGAATACATTCATATTTCTGTTTTTCTTAAAGCTGCAGTCCGTAGCTTTTTTGGGTTAAAAATGATCCAAAATAAATTTTTGAGCAAATACATGACCAGCCAGTGTTCAAAACTATCTGCTTGCCGTAGCTCGATTCAAAACGGTAAGCTTGTAATAATGTTTCTAATTCCAGTGGTACTGGTGGATTTCCGCGGGAGATTCGAGCATGTCTTTGCGTCATTACGTCACATCTGTACACATAAAGGAGTCTCGGCTAGTAGGCTATATTGCGTGTGAGGATGCTGGAGGTGGAGATTTATAGCCTTTTCTCACAGCACTTGATATAATTAAACTTATCAATTTGATGGCGGATCCAGAAAGGTTCAAACGACAATCACCAGTGACAACAGATTCACCCGTTGTAAAATGCAAAAGACTTCGTTTGGACTTCAGAGTGGCTAACTTACAGAAAAAAAGAGACTGTAACCGGCCCATGCAAAATCAAGGATACATATCGTAAGAGCATTAAATGTAGTCACGCAATGCTGATGGTGAACATTAACAATTTGAGAACAAAGTATAATTTGCACGGTTTTACGTGATATGATAAGTGATTGTTAGATTTAATCAGCGCAATTTACTGCAATGCTTTTTTCCCCTTAGTTGGTCAGAACAAAAGTGGATGTTTCTTACTTGTTCAGATGACATTTTCCGGTGAAAATTATTATGTTGTTCATACTTCCAAAAATAATAATCTGTGATTCTGAATGCCAGTATCCACAACGGCGCGGCGACTGACAGCCACACATTCTCCTCAAACATTGGATTCATCCGCACTGTGCCGTGCCAGGGCACAACTCACGTAAAGTTGATAATTCCGCAAATAACTGCAATTGCAGATTTCGACCAGAGATGGCAACAAAGAGGAAAAACTGCGGACTGCAGCTTTAACTTTACTTTATATTTTGATCTAGCATGTGGTCTGAGAACAGGTGATTTTAGAGGTAGTGAATGATAATGTGATGCCATACTTTTGATAAAGTCACAATTCAAGGAAATATTGTATTTGTGTTAAGAACATTCTAGTACTCGTCTCTGGTTAATTTCAATATGGAAATGTTGCCTTTTTCAAAACTAATGGCAGGTAAACATGTACAATATTTTGTCCCATGTCTTAAGAATCACATAAACGTCTACAATCATCAAAGACTGTGATATTTAATTGAGAATTATGACATAATTAACATACACAAAGCATTGAAATACCCTGCAGTAAATGCCTTCCTTTGTACGTTTTTGATATAGTGTCAATGTGTCTTTTCTTATAGCCTAAATGTTTAGTGCTAGACATATTACTTTTAAAAGAACATCATCAAAAATAGTTTCTCCAGACAGCGAATTCACCCTCCCCCAACAGTGTTCTTCTTTTCCTCCTCCTCCATAATATCATCTGAAGCAATCTCTTAACACAAGATGCCCTAGCGTCCTTCTTATAGACAAGGTCATTTGCTTTTTTGTTATAATGCAATTATGACCTCTCTAAACCATTAGAAGATTGAACCTGGCTTATTCACACTGCCTGACTTTTCTCCTGTCTGCATTTCAGTTCATGTCTGTCAGTCAAAGTCAATCCTGACAGAAAAAAATACTGATTTTACTTTTTAACTTTAAATGATATTTTATATAATTTGTTTTTGAAATGGGTAATTTTAGGGATTTCTTGTGTTGTTTTCTTCCTATCACTTCTGAGAGTATTATATAGCAACACATCTGTAAAGAAATGAAACCAGTAGCCTATATCACACCACAAAAATTAAAGAAATATTACTAAATACATTGCATTAAATATTGAAATTGATTTTGTTCTTAGGCTGAAATGCCATGTTTAACTTTTTTCACTTTTTCCACCTCACCATATCTTGACATATCGGCGGGCAATTTTACAGCTCACCCCTTAAAATCATTGTTATTCATGCCAGCTTGCCAAATATGCTATTATGTTCTTGCATAACTTGACCTGCTGACTCCCAATGCACCAGAGAACGCATAGAGAACAGAACAGAAACACCATACATCATTTCGACAAAGGCTATAAAGAGTGCAGGGCCTATTTTCAGTCCACTTGCGACTAATTGTACCTAAACTGTGCACTTAGGTTAAGCCGTTTCAAGTCAGATCAGTAAAACGTTGAGAATGGTGCTTTTCAATATTATTTCAGACTTGTATTCAGATCTTCATTCATCAGGAAACAATTATTTAGATATAGGCCTAGTTGTATTTGAACTGAAGTAGTGTTTTCCATAGTTATATGATTTATAGCCTACGCTGAATAAAATTATAAATGCAACACTTTTGTTTTTGCCCCTATTTTTCATGAGCTGAACTCAAAGATCTAAGGCTTTTTCTATGTACTCAAAAGGCCTATTTCTCTCAAATATTGTTAACAGAACTGTCTAAATCTGTGTTAGTGTGCACTTCTCCTTTGCCGAGATAATCCATCCACCTCACAGGTGTGGCACATCACAGTAGAAGGAGGCTCACTGACACAGATTTAGACAGATTTGTGAACAATATTTGAGAGAAATAGGCCTTTTTTGTACATACATATATAGAAAAAGTCTTAGATATTCGAGTTCTGCTCATGAAAAATGGAGGCAAAAACAAAAGTGTTGCGTTTATAATTTTGTTCAGTGTAGCTGATGATATTCATGACTTGTTGCTGTCCATCATTTGTAAGCAGCAGTACTGTCAGATTCCCCCAGCATTACGCAGGTTGTGGGGGAAGTGCTGTCTGTTCACCGAGGGGCCAATCATGCAGTTCAACGGAGCTGCCAGACCTCTCAGACAGACACATGGTCCACATCCATTCAGTCGGCCAATAATGGGTTACTCCGCAGCCTGAGCACTCAGCTTCCCAACGGCATGTAAACACAATGAATGTGAAACAAGCTCTCTTTTGATCCATTAGCTATTGTAAAGTCTCACAGATTCATTCGGATGTGTATGGCTCTGAGTATGTGTGGTGCGGATTTTGAGTACTATAAGTCATACAAAGTATAAGACGTAAAACAACTGTTCAGTTAAATTATACAATTTTGTTCACATCGTATTTGCGATTATTGAATTATGTTGCAGCCTATGAAATGTTTTGTCCCAAATTCTGAGACCACAATGAAAATCTGGAACCAAAATGTTTCTGATTCTCACTGTTTTAGGTCACTTATCAAATGTAAACAGATAATAGTTCTGATTTGCTTCCAATGAAGCACAAGATCCTCTTTGATTTTGGAACAGTTTTGAGTTGGAGAACATGATCATCAGATTTTGCTTGAGTGCTGCTGTCATTAAAGCTACAGGGGGCACACCAGATACCATATTATATGCTACTAACTGTTATGTGACTTTTTACTTTTTATTTGGGAATTTTCAAGAAAAATTTACAGACTTTGAGCTGTTTGCAATGAACAAATCAAACAAAAGCAATTGAAGTAGCTCAACACAACAAATGTTTCAAGTGGTTTCCCCATCAACTGAAAATGCAACTTTTAATGACTTCTGCTGTCTCAAAATGATTCAACTCCTTCATGGCAAGCATCTTTAGTACTAAGTAGAACAGCCTTTTGCTGTTATGACCTGTTGTAAAAGAGATGTATAACCAGACACCAGCTTCTGGCAGCATTTCTGAGGAATCTTAGCCCATTCCTCATGAGCAATGGCCTCCAGTTCAGTAATATTCTTGGGGTTTGCGTGCTGCAAACCGCCTTCTTCAAATCCCACCAGAGATTTTCTATGGGGTTCAAGTCAGGTGACTGTGATGGCAACTGTAGAATCTTCCAGGACTTCTTCTGCCACCAAGCCTTGGTGGAATTTGAGGTATGCTTGGGATTGTCCTGTTGGAAGCTTCCTTACTGACGGCATGACATTTTCTCCTAGGATTTCCTGATATACAAAAATGTATCCATCTTACCTTCCACACGTTGCAGGTTTCCTGTGCCGGAGGATGCAAAGCAGCCCCAGAACATCACAGAGCCACCACCATGCTTAACTGTAGGCAGAGTGTTATTTTATGAAGCATAGTATGCTTCATTCTTTTCCTCCAGACATACCGCTGATCCATAGGGCCAAAGAGTTCCACAGAACAGAATCCCAAAACTTCTGTGGCTTATTTATATGATTTTGAGTAAATTGGAGCCTATTTTCTTGTGCTTTTGGGTCAGTAGTTGTGTACGTCTTGGAGTTCTGGCACGGGTTTAGCCCATTGATAGATTTATTTTTTCTGCCCGTCCAGGTAGTGTAACCACTGTTACTTTAATTTTGAACTTGTTGTGGCGAGCAGGACGAGGTCGAGGGACGTGAGAGGACGGCGCGAGGCCGGTGGCGTGAGTGATAATGAGCGACACCTGTGAGACGCACCAGTCTCGCATCTCTCACGGAGGAGCGGAAGCTTAAAGGAGGAGCGACGACAGTGCAGATCGAGAGAGGAACAGGCCTGAACTTATGTTGTGTTTTGTTTTTGTGTGCCAGCAGTTGTCCGTGAGGGGCTGCTGGCTTATACTTTCATTTTGTATTTGTTTATTTTATTATTAAACTGTTGAATGTTCGCCGGTTCCCGCCTCCTTCTTCCCATAACAACTGAACCCCGTTACACTTGCGAACTATGCTTCCAACGGTGTCTCTAGGAACATTTAGTGCCTTCGCTATATTTCTGTATCCCTTTCCTTGTTTGTAAAGGGCGATGATATCTAACATGCAGTCAAATGTGACACTCAACAAACCTAGCCAGTTCAGATATTTTCATGTGTTCTAGCTCAAGCACACCTGGTGCAACTAATGAAGCCCTTGATTAGTTGCATCAGGTGTGCTTGAGACAACACCTGTTTTGCAGATTCGTGCTGTTGTGAGAGATTCTATTCAGACAAATTTTGAGACAAGAGAAAGTTGCTTTTTCAGTTGAATTTGGGGAAACTCATTCTTTTGTATGATTTGTTCATTGCATCAAACAGTGGAAAGTCTGTAAATTTTGCCAATAAACCTGATTTGCAAACCTGGTTACTTATTATGTTTACTCACTTGGAGAAGTGAGAAGTTCGTGTAAGCCAAATCTGCACAGATTTAGCGCAAACACTCAACTTGTGAGTCATCACGCAACAAATAACGGTGCGCTTGTTCCTTTGCATTGAAGTGCAATGCTCACCAAGGCTGTATATAAAAATACAGTGATACTGTGAACTATTATTGCAATTTAAAGTACGGTAATTTAATCTTGTGATGGCCAAGCCGAATTTTCAGCAGCATTTACTCCAGTCTTTGGTGTCACATAATCCTTCAGAAATCAAGATATATTTATAAAATGTCATCTATGATCAGACCCAGATAGTTTTTGCTAAGTACTTGTACATTCTGGTGGCTTTTCCAAACTTTGATTATTTATGAACTATATGAAGGCCAAAACTTTAGTACTCGCAGTATAACTTTGAACCTGTGTTTCTCCCCTAGACTCATGAGAGCCATAAAGGCAAAATCTCGTATTCTGTGCTGACTGCAGACCTCTTCCCCTCCATCATCTAATAATGGATGATACAGCTCAACAAGACACATCTTCCCTCATGAAGGGGGCCAGAGACATTGCTAAGGTGGCCAAAAGACAAGCCGCTAAGAAAGTCAACAAAGTTGTGGACCATGCCTCAAACGAGTACTCCCACAGTCGCGCCTACCAACGCTTCCAGGATGAAGATGATGACTACTATAGCCAGCCGGATGGGAACTACACAGGCCACAACGCCAATGATGAAGAGGGATCCAGCGACGCCACTGAGGGTCATGATGATGAGGATGAGATATATGAAGGGGAGTACCAGGGGATCCCCTCGGATGCAAAGCCCAGGGATGGGCAGGTGGCTTTAGGAAAGCCGCTGGCGGATGGCCTGAAGGACCGGCGAGAGCTGGAGAATGAGAGGCAGGCAGACGAGGAGGAATTGGCCCAGCAGTACGAGCTCATCATACAGGAGTGTGGACATGGCAGGTTTCAGTGGCAGCTGTTCTTCACGCTGGGGCTGGCGCTCATGTCGGATGGTGTGGAGGTCTTCGTGGTGGGCTTCGTTCTCCCTAGCGCAGAGACGGATATGTGTGCGCCTGACTCGAGCTCTGGCTGGCTAGGTAAGAATAACAGGAATAACAACAAATACACATTGACACTATATTATGCATTTGGCAGATGCTTTTATTAAAACCAACGCACATTGCATGCAAGGTATACATTTTATTAGTTTAGATTCCCTGGGAATCAAACCCATGAGCTTGGTTTTGGCAGCACTATGCACAACTGTTTGGGGTAGGTGGCCTTTACATCGTGTCTTAACTACATGTGCCGCACCGCGCGATAAAAGGTATATTTTCCATGTTAATCAGAGTTTTTGTCCTAACCAGCCGCAGCGATTCTATTTTAGAAACGGTTTCTATTTTTCCTGCAACGTCGAGGCTGGAACAACAAACACAAAGTGTGGCAATGATAATCTCAGGTACTGTTTATGTGCTTTATTTAATGTTAAAAGCATGCAATGTGACTTTGAATATCATTTAGTTCTCCCAGCTTTGCTCTGTAAAAGTGACAATGGATAATTCTCCTCAGATCTTGAAATTAAACAAATGGAAACAAGAACGTTCAAACTGTGAACAAACAAGTGTATTCTTTGACAAAGATTGTTTTAGTAACTCAGTAGCCTATGTATTTTTAATAATGTTTAAATGGTGTAATATTTGTGAATTTGATTATGTAGCCTACCCTACTTATCCATTTTCTTGCGAGTGCCGTCAAGATTACTCTCTGGTGCTGTGCATATGCTGCGAGACTCCGCCCACACGCTGTTCTGATTGGCTGTGGGTTTTGATTGATTTTGACGCATCTCGCAGTCGCGTCGCGTCTAGTGTGGACAGACAAATTATTTGTCGCTGGAATCTTATCGCAACGCATCTGGTTTAGGACACGGTGTTATAGAGGTAAAACAATAAATAAAAAAAGTAAAATTTTAACATTTTAAACTAGAATTTCTTCCATCCAGCTATCCATCAATCTATACTCAGTGAAATATTAGAACAGGAACGGAATAACGGACGAGAACGGACAACTGAACAAAGTCAGGGGCTGCGTCGAAAATCACCCTCTTATACCCTTAAATAGGGCACTATTTGAAAGGACAGCCAAGTGGTGTCCAAAACCATAATGGACGTTATCGAGTGCACTCATTCAATCCCATAATGCACCGCAATAACGAGTGTACAACCGATGTATGCTTAGTCTCGCGTAGCCAGACCTTCAGACTGACGGCTGAAGGTCTGGAATTCATAGCAGCTTTCTTTGGCCAAGGCCCGCCCATAAGGCCGTTTGACCGACATGTCAAAAAACCAATTACAGTTCGTTTCGTTCAGCGTCACATTTCGGGGCGTGCAAATGTCCCCACAACAACAGACCGGCATGCAACAAGTCAGTCAGCATAGAAAATCAAAGAAGGAGAAGAAAACAAGCAGTAAGTCATTGATCTGTTCGTGCACGTATAACAACAATGGCGTGCACTTCATCAACAGCCATACCGATGAGACGCTCGCGGGAAACATCTGTTTGAAGCATATCTCTCCACTGTTTAACACCCACAAGCAATTCTGGAGAACCGAACACAATACTGAATCGGCCAGCTGCGATGTCAGCGTCTGTTGTTTCATGTTTGCCCGCAAACGCGGCTGATATCCCCTTCGCGGTTAGGTACTTCACTTGATCTTCCATAATAGATAGGAGGGGACACACAACTAAAATTGGATCTGCTGGGAATCCTTCTAAATGCTGACAAAGGGTCGGCCAGGCTTGGAAAATAATACTCTTCCCAAATCCCGTCGGCAAACAGGCTAAAATATCTCTTTTTGTCTCCACTAAGTGCCTCAAACAAAACTCCTGGACATCTCTTAAAGAGTCTATGCCGTGAACCTCACATACTTTTGAAAATCCTACGTTTAGCTGATCTTGATAAATGCTCATTGTCACTCATGTAAACACAACAGTTTTTCTTCCGCAATCACACGTCTGCGCCGGTCTGCGCTTTGTTTCCCGGCGGACCGAAAATAAACGCGACACTCGCGCCCCCCGGAAATCCGATAAAATTCAACCAATCAGATGACGACTTCGACATTCCTGAAGTGTTTCCAGTTAAGTGTACCATAATGCATCAGACGTTTAGCCAACGTTCTGTGGGCGTGACGTCTGAGGCTGAGACTAATGTATGCCATAGACAGTATAAGAAGTGGACAGCGCCATCTCATTGGAACTCAGTTGAGACAGTTGAAGCCCATTTTTAGCGATTTTTGAGCACTTCCGTTCCTGACGCGCAGACTCAAACCGACTCAAACTAAGCTTGATGACGTGAGCAACCTGTCTGACAGACGTTAATCTTCTAGTAGCTGTGCGTGAAAATTGCCAACGTTAATCTTGCAGAGACGGGGAACTTGAGCAAAGAGTTCTTTGGCGTGAGTGAGCAGGAGTAAGTATTCCGTTGCTTTTATGGACTCATTATCTATGGGCTTCTCCCTTGACGGGACGTCCCCCCGATTGCCTGCGAGCTTCTCCTCCTGTCTGTACGGTAATTTCTGTACAGCGCGACAGAGAGTCGAGTGGTTATGACGCAATCGTTAGCCTATTTTTACTAAAACTGTTTCTACGGGGCCATAGTGTAACATAGAAGGTAATGGAGCCCTTTATACATTGTCGTGTTTCTTTAGAAATAAATAATGGACAAATGGAGTCTTTAAACGCCTCAGATGTAAAGTTATTCGCTGTCAAAGTGACGCAAAAATGAATGGGAGTCAATGGAAATGCTAACGCAAGTGAAGTTCTGCTACAACATTAATTCCTGCATCTGACCTGAAGATGGCGCCCACAGCTGAATCATCCATCCGTCCATTTTCCAAACTTCTGGTCTAATGTGGGGTAGGGTTAGCCCTAACCCTAACCCTAACCCTAACCCTTTTTTAATTGATTATTAAATTGTTTAATTAAGGTTTATTCATGCTAGTTTCCATGACAGAGTTCAATCTTTTCATCTGATTACTGGAGCTGCCAGTTTGCTAAGTTTCAAATGATTATTAAACACAAACTATGCAAAAGAGGCAACGCTTCCGGCGCACTAGTGTCCAAATTCACTCACTCATATTCATTCACTCCTTCAAGTGGACTAAATTAGTGTACTAATGTAGGGAATAATGAATGAGGGTATGGGGGCCATTTCTAACACAGCTTGGGTTTAAAAACATAAGGAAAATAACAACAGGTGCACATGATAATCAAAAAAAGAGAAACCATAAAAACAAACTTAAACACAGGAAACAAAACTAAAACATGTGCAAAACCCAGCCAAAGCAGACACCCATTACAATACTTTCAATATTTAATACAGCAATGACTCTGTTCATTCAAGATTGCTGTTTTTTCTAACTTTCTATTCATCAAAGAATCCTGAAAAAAACTCCATTAGAAACCATTAATGTTAAAATAAATATTTTATTTAATAAAAAAAAAAAAAAATTGATCAAATAAATGCATCCCTGATGAGCATCAGATACATTTTTAAAAACATCAATAAAAAAAAAAGGCCTCAAACTTTTGAATGATAGTATACCGGTAATGCTGGTTTCAGAAAACCGGAGAGTATCTAATTGCAACATAAATGTTTATTTACAAGCAAAAAATCTGGCACAGGGATACGTAGGCAAAAAATGATCCAGAGACAGAGCAAGACTGGCAAAACAGAACTGAAAAATACACACGTGTAACATCCAACACCAGACATGGGAACACACAGGTATAAATACACAGGATAACAAGAGGCAAACTAGGAACAGGTGGTGGTAATCAATTGCTAAGGAAACAAACAAGCGTAACTAAGGCAAAAAACTAAACACAGGAATAGAACACTAACAACAATAGGAACAAAAAATACACTTCAAAATAAGAGTCCTTAAACACAATGGGCCCTATTTTAATGATCCAAGCGCATGGTCTAAGGCAGGGCGCAAGTGCACTTTTGCTAATTTAACGACGAGAAAAATGGTTGGCGCGTGCGGCGCATGGTCTAAAAGGGTTGTCCCTATTCTCTTAATGAGTAATGGGTGTGTTTTGGGCATAACGTGAAATAAACAAACCAATCTCCCATTCCCTTTAAATGCCAGTTGCGTTCGCGCCATGGCGGATTGCAATTTACATGACGGAATTTGAAAGCGGTAAGACTAAACGCATCTCCTGAGAGCAAACTGATCTGCTTGTGCATGAGGTTAAAGCGCACAAGCAGACCATCTACGAGACAAGCCGGATTCCTTTTTGTACACAAAATTAATCTTTTACATTGTAATCCTTTTATTTTTAATATTTGGCTAGTTTGTGTGCTGCTGTGCGTCCCTGTGTGTGTAATAACCAGAGTGTACGCACGTTGTGGACCCGCCTATAGGCGCACATTACTACTCTTTAAATAACATAAAAAATATTGTGCCATTGACTTTAGACCAGGTTTCAGTTGGTTAATGGCGAAGTCTATTTCAGTTGCCTCAAAATAGCAACGCGCCAAAAATATGCGTCTGAACACACCTCGTTTTCAGACCAGCACGCCCATGGGCGCACAAATAGGCGCAAATACATTTGCTATTTAAACAACAACGTGTCGCAGGACATGAAAATGATAACCGCGTCGGGCTGAAACTAGCAAAAGACACTTGCGTCACGCTTGGCGATGCATTGCGCCAGGTGTATGATAGGGCCCAAAACGGGAAAAGAGACCGGAATTGTAAAAGTTATTTTAATATTTTTTTCTTATTTAACGTCCTTTTTTTTAATCAAAGTGTCGCAACAACATTGAGCGTATAGATGTGAGGGATTGATATCTAGTGTAGCCAGCCAGTTTTTTATGTTGGACAAAAAGGAGCAACAAAAGGGCAATACAATTTTTTTTTATGTTTTCTTCTTCTTTTTCTTCTTCATTTTATAATTGTTATTTCTAGAGCAAGTGTGTGATACTGCTATTTAAACAGTCTTGTAGTTCTGTTTGACCTGGTTAAATTGATATCAATTGACATTCTTATGTGTTTTATTATCAGTTTAATCAAGTCTGAGCATCTCTCTTTCT